GTTACATTATAGACTATTGAACATTAAACATCTTGTACAGTATATCATATTTTGAAACGAGCTCTGCTTTAATGAGTTTTTTAAATTGGTTTACATTTGTAATTTTTTTAACTCATCATTCAATCCATTCCAGACATTTACTCCACACACTGATAAACAAAAACTCTTCCTGGTTGTTCTAATATGTTGTTTTTTAAAATATCCTTCACCTCTTAAATTATAACGCCCCTCTCTGTCACCAAACATTTCCTGTATGTTGTGTGGAAGTTTTTGATTTCGGACCTTAAACATGAATTGTGTAGTTTTAAATATTACCAGGTCCCAGAATTTCAGTATATTTGATTTAATGAATAACTGGTTTGTGTGTTCCCAGTATCCCACTTTATGTAGTATACGGATAGATTTTTTTGTAAGACGTATAATGGCGACGTATAATGGCTTACTGCAGCAAACAAAAACAAATAAATAAATAAAGATTTTTTTAAAAAAAAGTTGCATTTTCCACTCCTTATGAGAAAAAAAAGCCTAAACAGAGAGAGGATTTACCATTGCTGAACATTTCATCATCTGTGAGCTGCCCGTCTTTGGCAAACAGCACGCCAAATTTAAAGTTGACAGAACCCTAGGATGTAATAAGGATAACAGATAGCAAAGTAGTCAACAAATAACATAAATATGAACAGAAAAGGGGATAAAATTTGCATAACGTTACAAAAAATGAATAAAATTGTTTTTAACGGCATGCATTTGCAAAGCAAGTACAGTGACATAATAAATATTGATAAAGTATAATTGTAACTTCAGTAAACACAATGCGCAAGGAAAAGAAAATGTTACTATACAAAAAAAAACCCTCCATAAAATTTCTTGAAAATGATTCAGGATTGCTAAAAATACCAACTGAAAACCAAGAAAAGCTGCACTTTATCCTTTCACACCTCCTGTTCTTCCAACACCAGCAGGTCCTGAGGGGGAAGAGAAAAAAAACTGTCATTCTCACTAAGTAGGACTTCAGCTACAGGTGACACAGCCCCAGGGCATTATATTTAGGTGTTGCTGATCAGGCTTGGCATGAAATGGACCTCTCCTTCATCTGAAGAGGAGCTGACGGATGCTCCGGTGTCATTCTCACCTTCTGAATGTCTGGATTGAGGATCTCCCTGGGGCCTTTCTCAAACCGGTCCATGTTCATCGCACTGTAATCGAAGCAGGAAATGAAATATTGAAAGAGGAAAAAGAAAAGGAGAGGAAAAAAGGTGGGGGGAGTGCTTTAGATCTGATTAAAGATAAACACCCCCACCCCCCCTCAGCCTAACACAGAGAAATCAGAGCCGACAGAGGGGTTTTCTCATCTGGTTTGTTCAATTTGTGCTCATTTGAGTTCAAGCAGTGATGCTGCTCAGCCGGAGGAATTTATGAGCTCCATTCTCCTCTGTCATGCATCGCCTTAAATCCTTTTTCTAGACTCTCATGACATTTGTTAATGGATACAGAAAGTCTTGGGTATAAATAACATCGTTTTATAAACCCCCAAGAAAAAAAAAGTTTGGTGTAAAATAGAGGTGTGTCCTGGAAAAATAAATTATCCTTTAAGGTCCTACATTTCTTCTCAGGCCAAGAGTCGGTGACCTCTTTTGTTTACCTTAAAATGTCATCATGTTTTATGATTTTACTCTTTATCTTCTGTTTTCTCTCAGACAAAGTGTTTTAAGATCAGAACAATATCTGTTAGAAGTAATCATTCTTGTTGCTGTTTATCAAACATCATTCTCTCCTCGGCCCAGTTTCAGCACCAAGAGAGATGTTTATTGTCTGTCTGGATAACATTCTGTATAAATGCATGTGAAACTGCCTCAGTCCACACATTTTTTACCACCGCCCTGTGTGACATGATGTGTGTCTTGCAATTGCAATAAATCCTGTTGACCATCTCACAAAGTACTTTTATTCTTGGATCTCGTGTTTCTTTAGGTAAAATAACGATTTCCACAACACAGTGGAAAACTGCGAACATTGCTAGGTTTTAAAGAAATATTTCTTATTCAAGTAAAAATAAACAAACAAATGTATTTTTATGATTTTTTTAATGAATTCATCAGCAAACCAGACTGAAGTTGCTGGCAACTTAATAGCCCTAAAAAATGTTGGTTTGCACTGACTATGGTCAGGGAGGGTAAAACTGTTCTGATTGTTTTTTTTTTTTTTGTTCAACCACAACCATCTTTGTGAATGCTGAACTCCTAATAACATTGTTTTAAGCATATGTCCATATGTATATTAAAAAACAACAATAACAACAACAAAAAAACCCTGATACAACTTATGTACTGATTTCTAAAGTCTTATGGAAGAATATATATATAAAAATTCCCTTCTCACCCTCCGCGGGTGGTCTCTTTCATCCTCTGAGCTCGGGTCCTCTACCAGAGGCCTGGGAGCTTGAGGGTTCTGCGCAGTATCTTAGCTGTGCCTAGAACTGCACATTTCTGGACTGAGATGTCTGATGTTGTTCCTGGGATCTGTTTTAGCCACTGCTCCAGTTTGGGGGTGACTGCCCCGAGGGCCCCGATGACCACAGGCACCACTGTGGTCTTCACCTTCCAGGTCTTTTCCAGTTCCTCTCTGAGGCCCTGGTATTTCTCCAGTTTCTCATGCTCCTTTTTCCTGATGTTGTGGTCACTTGGTATTGCGACATCCACCACAACGGCTTTCCTCTGTTCTTTATCCACCACCACAATGTCCGGTTGGTTCGCAATTACCATCTTGTCTGTCTGGATCTGGAAGTCCCACAGGATCTTAGCTCGGTCATTCTCCACCACCTTTGGGGGTATTCCCCACTTCGATCTCGGGGCTTCCAGTCCATATTCTGCACAGATGTTCCTGTACACTATGCCCGCCACTTGGTTATATCGTTCCATGTACGCTTTCCCTGCCAGCATCTTGCACCCTGCTGTTATGTGCTGGACTGTCTCAGGGGCCTCCTTGCACAACCTACACCTTGGGTCTTGTCTGGTGTGGTAGATCTGAGCCTCTATTGCTCTGGTGTTTAGGGCCTGTTCCTGTGCAGCTAGGATAAGTGCCTCTGTGCTGTCCTTGAGTCCAGCTTTTTCCAGCCATTGGTAGGATTTCCTGATATCAACCACTTCAGTTATTTGTCGATGGTACATCCCATGTAGGGGCTTGTCCTCCCATGATGGTACCTCTAGCACTTCGTCTTCTGTTCCCCATTGCCTGAGACATTCGCTGAGCACATCGTCCGTTGAGGCTTTGTCCTTGATGTATTTATGGATCTTGGATGTTTCATCCTGGACAGTGGCTCTCACACTCACTAGTCCTCTGCCTCCTTCCTTACGGCTTGTGTACAGTCTCAGGGTGCTGGATTTGGGGTGGAACCCTCCATGCATGGTTAGTAGCTTCTGAGTCTTAACATCCGTGGCCTTCATCTCTTCCATTGGCCAGCTAATTATTCCGGCAGGATATCTGATTACTGGTAAGGCATAGCTGTTTATTGCACGGATCTTGTTCTTGTCATTGAGCTGGCTTCTCAGGACTTGCCTTATTCGTTTTAGGTATTTGGCTGTGGCTCCTTTCCTTGTGACCTCATCGAGGTTGCCATTTGCTTGTGGTATTCCCAGGTACTTGTAGCTGTGCTCTATGTCTGCTATTGTTCCCTCTGGGAGTGAGACCCCTTCTGTGCGGATGACCTTCCCTCTCTTTGTAACCATCCGACCACACTTCTCTAGTCCGAATGACATCCCAATATATACATATATATATATATATATACAGTATATATGACAAGAAAACACTGCTATTCATTCTCCTTAATTTTATTGTTTTTTTATGTAGAACGTATTTATTAATGCACACATACTGTATCTTCCAGCCAAGCTGTGTGTGTTTGCAGTACATAAATGCAACTATAAATAATGATGACAAAAGCTCTTGTCTGTAAATACCATTTGGCTTCAACAGTGTCTGGCAGTAAAAACTTGAGCCAGTTGGTGCATCACCATGTGTTTCTGTTAGACATCAGTGAGCATAAAAACACAGGGCTGTGGAGGGTTTGACATGACTAATACCCAGAAACACTGTGCCTCAGCAGCAGCACAGTTAATATTGTTTTTCTAATTCACGTGCAGGGTGAAAACAATGGTCCACAAAGCTCCAAGCTGCATTTCTCACCTGAGGATGGACTTGACTGATAGTGTTTTGGTTGGGCTGTAGGGAAGGCTGATCTTCAAAGTGCCCTAAGCAAAAGTAGAGTAAAAACAGAGCTGTGGTTATTTGAGCTTTTAGCTCTAAAATCCATTCTACAACCAAAATATCGATTTGATACTTCAGTCATTTAATTTAATATATAATATTATTTTAAAAAACACTGTAAAGTAACTAAACCATCGAAATCTTGTCTAAATCATACATGGTTGGTGGGAACTACTTTTTCTTCCACCTGGGCATGTGCGTACTGCGTGCTCAGTCCATACATGTCAACTTGTATGGCTTGTCCGTAAATTATAAGGATTTTACGTCATCTTGCAGGTATACGGACGTATAGAGCAATCTCACGGATTTTTTCAAGTCTTATTCAAAACCTCATTTTCAAATTTATCCAGAGCCTGTAGGATGATTTAAAAAAACAATAAATAACACCAAACAGCCATCTTCCAACCTGTTCTGCCGCTAGAAATAAGTTTCGAATGTTTTCCTCTCTCCATTCCTTCTGCTTCGCAGCAGGCGCTTTCATGTCCGCAGCCGACAGCCACCCCCCGAGTGCGAGCTGTACGTTTTTGTTTTTTTTTTTTGCGAAAATTATGGTTTTTTGGGGCTCTTTATGCAGGTAAACATCCAAGGAGGTTGACATGTATGTCAGTCAGTGTGTGTTATTCACATGTTCAGTATTTTCATGTTAACACGTTGATGTAACGTTATGTACGTTATGTATGTAAGTTAATATGAATTAAGAAACAAGTTTTCATTTTTGTAGTAGTTAAACACCAATTTGTTTTAATGGTTTTGTAGTTTCACTTTTATTTTTTTGTTTAAAACACAATTTTCACATAATTTACATGATTGTGGCCTCTGTTTTGGATCAGTATCACTGATACCAGCCTGAGTTTTACTCAGTACCATAATCAGAAAGGAAATCCATGATATCAGGAAACAGGGTTTTTTAATGCTGCTCAAAACTGATTTTCAGTGCACATAAAGGAGCATCATCCATAGCTGCTTGGTAAATAAATTCAGACCACACACACACACACACACACACACACACACACACACACACACACACACACACACACACACACACACACAC